TAGTAGTATTGATAGTGGTGTTTCTGGTGATGGTGGTGGTGGTGGTAGTAGTATTGATAGTGGTGTTTCTGGTGATGGTGGAGGTGGGGTAGTAGTATTGATAGTGGTGTTTCTGGTGATGGTGGTGGTGGTGGTAATAGTATTGATAGTGGTGTTTCTGGTGATGGTGGTGGTGGTGGTGGTGGTGGTGGTAATATTGGTAGTGGTGTTTCTGGTGATGGTGGTGGTGGTGGTAGTAGTATTGATAGTGGTGTTTCTGGTGATGGTGGTGGTGGTGGTAGTAGTATTGATAGTGGTGTTTCTGGTGATGGTGGTGGTGGTGGTGGTAGTAGTATTGATAGTGGTGTTTCTGGTGATGGTGGTGGTGGTGGTAGTAGTATTGATAGTGGTGTTTCTGGTGATGGTGGAGGTGGTGGTAGTAGTATTGATAGTGGTGTTTCTGGTGATGGTGGTGGTGGTGGTAGTAGTATTGATAGTGGTGTTTCTGGTGATGGTGGTGGTGGTGGTGGTGGTAATATTGGTAGTGGTGTTTCTGGTGATGGTGGTGGTGGTGGTAGTAGTATTGATAGTGGTGTTTCTGGTGATGGTGGTGGTGGTGGTAGTAGTATTGATAGTGGTGTTTCTGATGGTGGTGGTGGTGGTAGTAGTATTGATAGTGGTGTTTCTGGTGATGGTGGTGGTGGTGGTAATAAAGACTGGTAGTGACAATCGTACACAGTAACATCCTACAAGGACTCACATTTAATTGTCAACAGTGTTTCTCACAAGATTTGGCTAAGATTGCCCCAAGAAGCACACTTTCTTGTGCTGATTCTTCTTTGGTGATGGTTGTTGCCAGGTGGTGTGTGGTGGTGGTAGTGATGGTGGTGGTAGTGGTGATGATGGTGGTGGTAGTGCTAGTTGTGGTGTATCGTGGTGGTGGTAATAGAAGTAGTAGTACTGGTGGTGATAGTAGTAGTGGTGGTGGTAGTGGTGGTAATAGTGGTGGTAGTAGTAGTGGTGGGCTGATGTGGTTGTGATGGCCTTAAAGTCAGACAAAACACTGCCCTACTGATCTCATAACTCACTTGCACCGCCTACTTCTCACCCTTCCCTGAAGGAAAGTCTCTCTTTTGGTTTCATTGCAGTCCCTGCTCTCTCTCTCTCTCTCTCTCTCTCTCTCTCTCTCTCTCTCTCTCTCTCTCTCTCTCTCTCTCTCTCTCTCTCTCTCTCCATATCCTGTGATGGTATCTTTTTTATTTACGTACCATCATTTACATATTCATAAATGCACAAAAGAGTTGTTCATGCCGTAGTGTTGTTGCCTTCATGATTCGATAGTTGCATTACTTTTAGCTGGCTGACATCTCCATCCACCATCAGGAGCACAGCAACCTCTAATCGGAATTCCCCTCAGATGAACCGCGTTTGGTAATGAGAACCGTCGGGTGAATACTGCAGAGGCGCTGCTGCTGCTGCTTCATTGTGTAAGGACTTCCGTGCATGAGGCGCCAGGGCGCGTAGCACAATGGCTGCGGATCTTCCTTCAGTGGACAGTTACACCTCCTTCCTGGGCGTTACCATGCTGCGTCTTATGGGGGTAGCCTCGTTGTATGGAGGATGTGCGTCTTACGGAGTAGACTCGTTGTATGGAGGCGCTGCTTATGTAATGGCCAAGTTTTATAGGACTATTTAAACAAAGAAATTGCGTCCCATAAAATAGTCATCTCTTGTAAGAACATAAGATGAGAGGATCATTGCAGTAGACTTGCTGTCTCATGCTGCCCAACTCATCAAGCCCATCCATTTTTCCTTCACATAATTGTCCAGTCTGTTTTTTAAGCTTCCTGGGGTATTAGCGTCAGTGACTGCACTTGACAAAGTGTTCATCTTCCCTACAACTCTATTGCTAAGCTAATGCCTATTTTTTAATCTTTTCTAAATCTGAACTTAGTCAATATTATGCCACTTGTTCGGGTTGCCTTCAGCGCCTGAGTCATACGCCCTTATGGAGGAGGAACGTCTTATGGAAGAGATTTATCTGACTGAGAATCTTCATCTTATTGGAGCCTTGTATTATGAAGGGGTCGCGTCTTAAGGAGTGGGCGTGTTTTACTAAGGAAACTCGTCCTGTGGAGGGGCCACGTCTAGTGGAGTGGCCTCATCTTACAGTCACAGTGTTCAGTCTCTTACGAAGCACATTCATGTTATATTTATTGATGCGATTGTAGTTGTAATGACTAATATTGGAGTTTGTTCTTGATCTGCATATGTTTCTTTCTGATTTACCTTTCCTTTCGTTAAACGCTGTTTAAATTTGTATCAGTGTTACTCAGAACACAAATTTTGAAACATCATCGAAGAAAAGCAACATCAGGACTCTCAGTAACCACCTTGAAGTTACCATCACCACAGAAATCTGGCAGTGTTGCATCGTTATGCAAATGTTACTTTAGAAAAACAAAAGTGATTCCCAAGATTTAGATTGAAATATTCAACTTTGGTTTGTGAGTGGTAGTTGAACTTCTAGTAGAACTTTGTTCGTACTATTTGGCTTACGTCTTAAGCGGTATTGGGGCTGCTTGTAAGACTGTTCGTATATCAAGCTGACGTAAGTAGTTCCGGAACTGCTTGTAAGACTTTACATCGATTGGACTGACGTTGTAAGTGGTGCTTCAGATGCTTGTGAGAACCTGTGCGAGTTTTCATTGGTATTTCTGACCAGATATCCAGAGCAGATCGGGAGTAGCAGGATACACACAAATTCAGTGTGGCAATCATGGTAAGAGACAACCACCACTGTGAAAACATCAGAGGGACTGCGGCTTGTAACTGAACGCACGCGCGCACACACACACACACACACACACACACACACACACACACACACACACACACACACACACACACACACACACACACACACACACGTAGCAAAATATGCTCCTCTTTAGCAATCAGAACAGAATCTAATTAACAGTCAAACACTTAGCAGTACTAACACTGGGAGAATCCCACTGTTAGCCAACTAAGGCAACAGTACTTTGAAGTCCCATTTAGCAACCTGGACAGGCGACTGTGCTAGAGTATCTCAGTTTAAACAGATACAAATATTTTGCAACAGTATTGCAAAACTCGAACACCATATATATATATATATATATATATATATATATATATATATATATATATATATATATATATATATATATACAAGGAGTTCGCGAGAGCAGGCGAAATATACACAAACACTGATCTCTGGCTGAAGGAGACTCGAACCTACGAACCTTAGGACAAGGTACGCAGTGCTTTACCAATCTACCCACACTGGACAATACCTTGGCGTGTAGCTTGCGCTACACGTTTGATCCAAGGCAGCCAGCTTTCAGGGAGAAGGCTTACAGCTTTTCATCTCATCTCCTGCATGCATCAGCATTACTAGAGTAACAAAAAAAGGCACAATACTGTGACTGGAACGATACACAAATAACCCGCACATAAAAGAGAGAAGCTTACGACGAAGTTTCGGTCCGACTTGGACCATTGACAAAGTCACACTAACCAGAAGTGGAGCAGGAGCATTACTAGAGATTTTAACAATGCTCTCGCGAATTCCTTGCATTGTTAAAATCTCTAGTAAGGCTGATGCATGCAGGGGATGAGATGAAAAGCTGTAAGCCTTCTCCCTGAGAGCTGGCTGGCTGCCTTGGATCAAATGTGTAGCGCAAGCTACACGCCAAGGTATATATATATATATATATATATATATATATATATATATATATATATATATATATATATATATATATATATGTCGTGCCGAATAGGCAGAACTTGCGATCTTGGCTTAAATAGCAACACTCCTCTTGCCATATAGGACAAGTGAAAACTTGTGTATGCAATAATTTCGCCAAAATCATTCTGAACCTAACGAAAAAAATATATTTCACTGTGTTTGTTTAGTATTAAATTATTGTAAACAAATATAAAATATAATTAGTTGGGTTAGGCTAAAATAAATTGTTCTTGTTATAATAAGGTTAGGTAAGTTTTCTAAGAGTCTTTTGTAGCAAAATTAAAAATTTTTACATTAACATTAATGAAAAAATATATCTTTAAACGTATAAGAGAAAATTTTAGAAAGGACTTAATTTTAAATGAGTTCTTGCTAATTGACCAGTTTTACATATTCGGCACAACATATATATATATATATATATATATATATATATATATATATATATATATATATATATATATATATAATATATATATATATATATATATATATATATATATATATAATTCTTATTGTAAGGGGTGAAGTACTCATGACTGGTGGTGTAATGGCGAAAGTCAGCCTTATTGACCTTCGTGAAATCAATAGACTTTAAACCTCACTTTTTTTTTTTACTTTACGTGAGGCGTTAAATCCATACGAGTCATTTTACGCAAGGAGTGATGGAGGAGGCTCGATCCATTGGCTGGTAATGGCGAAGTAAACACTGCCAATTAATACTCGCAATCAACTGAAACTTTTCCGTTAGCTGACCAAAACTGATCGTACATGCCAAGAAAATCTTAACCTTCATGTCTACACCTGTTATCCTGTATGTCTGCGCTTGTTATCTTGTATATCCCATGTATATCATCACCTTGTTCAGCCTCGTGATCCCAACCTGTTGTCTCGTATGTCTGAAACTGTTATGTCGTATGTCTAAATATGTTATCTCGTATTCCCGAGCATTTTTATCTCCTATTCCCGATTATGTTATCTTGTATGCCTAAGCTTTTATTTTGTAGCCCAGGTATCGTGTACCCATGAGTGTTACCTTGTATGCCCACTTTAGTTGTTTTGTTAATTCATATTAATTTATATACCAACACTTTTTTTTTGTATATACATAAACACTTTTTCACCTTTGCCCCTTGTGGTGTGGCCATCTGTGCTATCTTGTTAGTCGGGTACATGTATTCTTTGTATACCAACGGCAGTTATCTGGTGTGGTCATCCGTGTTACCGCGGATGACCACACTAGACGCGGATAACGGATAATACCTGTAGCATTCTCTCGCGTACATTTTGAAACTTTCCCTGATTTTACCATGTAATATTCGATTTGCACGCCGCTAGGGTGCGACAAACCTGATCTCAAATACCCTTGAGTGCAGTGGAAGCAGGCTTGTAAATACAGTGGAAAGTAAGAAAAAGGCCTATGCTAGAGTATTGCTACTCACCCCCAACAATTGCTAAAGATTAACACACAAACCTCGGGGTTCTTTTTTCGAAGTGTTAAACAAACGTACATACTCAGGGTTACCGCGAGACATTGAAAACTAACGCGGTAAATTGTTGATAAAATTGTTTTCCCTTGCGTGGACGAGGTCAGTCTCCTCATGACTGGCTGAGAGCTTGCTGGTGTGGCTTCCTGGAGGCTCCAACCTCATGACCCTATACAGCAACCTCGATACAGACGTTAAGTCATCGGAAGAAGAGAAAAAGGCCCTTACATCAGAATTGTGAAGACAAAATCCTGTGAGACACAGAAGTATCCGCTAAGCCACACGTTGTTGACGTCAGCGCGAGGGCGGAGCTTACTGTAACATCCAGCACAACCCGCTTTAATTTCCTGTTGTTTTAGCACACCTGTGCTCTCTCCCGTGCACAGCAGCACGACGATGAGCGTTCGTTCTCTAGCTGTCCGGCGAAAGCATAAGTGATGCAGAGAGGTGAGCCAGTAAGAACGAAGTGGATGGTTGGTAAGATCGAGGTCAGAGACCTGTCATCTTTGGCCCTAGGGTAAGTGGGGTGACCAATGAGAGCGCCGCTCCTGACGTGCCTGCCCCGGGCCATACACAACCCGGATGCCAACCCCAAAACCTCCCACGGGCCATGGCGGCACTCATCTGTCTCTCTACCAAGCATCAGCTATTAGAAAATAGCAAGCGAATCTAAGAGTTTGGTCCGGCTGGGAGGTGAATAGCTTGAGAGAGAGGAGTGGGTGGAGTGTGGGTTGCCTCGTGTCTAGGTGCTGAGGAGTGCGGGTTCCCAACTGTGGTGGCCGGTGTGGTGTTCTGTGCTGTCCTGAGGTGTTGATTCCTCGAGGTCCAGCGAAGGAGTCCCCCACGGAGCTCTGGTGTAGCAGAGCGAGTAAGCAGAAGCAGCAGCAGCAGGAGGTAACGGGTTGCCAGACGTCATCGGCAGGTAGGACTAGCGACTGGGCGCCCAGGCACAGTACACTCGGCGGGCTGCAGTCTCACATCGCCATTCCAACTCCGACCATCAAACGGAGAGGACCAGCCCATCTCCGTTCCTACCAGCTGGCAAGGTGGGTCTTAGCCTTTACTCCATACACAGGTACCCAAGACGTCCACCCAACTGCCCAAAGTGACCAAACCGGGAAAACTCGGCCCTCAACTCTGGTAATAGACGAAACGTGAAGTGGTCGATATATCAGTGCATCAGTGACTGTAGATGTCCTATGTTAAGGCATTTTATGAAAAAAAGATTGAATTATCACTACTTTTTTGTTGTTTTTAGTTTATAAGAGAGACGAACGAGGTAATGAATCTGATAAGGTGAGTGGGTGGCCCTGAATGACTCCTCTCCTCCATTATTATTAGCTCTTTTCGTTTTAGGTATTAAACTTTTAATATCGAAATCTTTCATACGCAAAACATTTACGTATGTTAAGTAAGGCACACATACCTTAATAGTTTTTTCAACTTTCACTCCATACTCAAGAATTAAAGTGCATCACAATGAGTTGTATGTCCAAGAAAAGCGCTGTTAGTAATGAGTGAAAGCAGAGGTTGCAGCACTCGTCCGCATCAAGAGAAACGATCGTGAACTTGAATTTAAGGCAGCGAGCGTAAAGTAGACAAGAATCTGACTCAGATGATCAAGGTCGTGAAGTTGCTTCCCGCGCGCCTCACTCTTACCCAAGTCGCTGTGTAATACTGCATTGCTTATTTCCTTGTTTTTTCCCTCTCCTTCATTCACAGCCACTTTTGTTATTTAGTTAAGTATACTCACTTGCGTCCATTGAGTTGAGAAACGCAGTTTCACTGAAGTCGCTTACACAGTTGCATTATTGTGGGAATAAGCGAATACAAGACAAGTTTCAGAGTGGTGATTTCAACGCGATCGTAGGTAGTAATCTTGAGCCGGGATGATCTCATTCTCAGTCCCATCGTTATTACCCTCGTCCACTGCAAGAAAAACACCAAACCCACCACCAACTTTGCTGCAGCATTTTGGACATTTACGACGTTTATATAACTGACGGCATTTTACAGTTCAGGTTAGGAGGCGGCAGGAACCTTCTTCATGGGTGCTTCCATGCATCAAGTAGTCTTCACCTTAGGTTCCGGGCACCTACAGACACTGCGGTTTGCAGTCAAACCAAAAACCTAGCGACTACAGTTTTTAAGGCTAGCGCGTCGTTGGCTCCAATCTTTTTTTGTTTTGGAACATTCAGGGGAACGAAGAGTATATTATTTGTTAGAAAATTGAGGCGG